CAGATGAATTCAAACCATTCATTCGCCGACTCCCAGAATTCAAGTTCTGGTATTTGTCTCCCCAAGTGTCAGCTACTTGTGATTTTTTTTGTTATAGTTATATGTTTTTTATGGATAGTTTTTTTTCTTTCAAAATTAACGTTTAGAGGTGGCCTTTGTTAACTTTGTTGATTTAGGTATGCTATCACAAAGGCTTTCTGTGTGGCATTTGTCATGACTTTCTTCTCCATGTTTGATGTTCCTGTGTTTTGGCCAATATTGTTGATCTACTGGATTGTTCTCTTTACCCTCACTATGAAGCGCCAAATTACACACATGCTCAAGTATAGATACATCCCATTTAACATCGGAAAGCAGGTTAGTTTATTATTTGGTATCATTTAGGTAGAGCTGGAATTCTGGAGCTAACACAATCACTATGTGTGATGGTCTGTTTAGTTTTAGATTATGTGATATTTACACCTTTGGATAGATTGAACTGAAGTAAAGTGAACTAGGTTTTGTAAGAACTGGCTGAACCAAAGTTCAACTAAACAAATGTTGGATAATAATTATGTTAAATCGTTTAGAATTCAGAAAAGGGTTGTTTGCATGGAGGTTAACCTAGGCTAACATATTAGAATTTATTTTAAAGAAAATTTAACCTCCGAAAATCACTTATTTAGAGGTTCTCTCCAATCAGGTTATTGGAACATTTGGAGGCTCTCTGAGGTAAATCTGGTTTTCTAAAGATCTAGTTCATGTGAAAATCAAGGTTCTTATTTTCGAAGGAAAATGCTATAAGCCTATAAGTACAAACTTACAAAAAAAATCACAAACAAGTGATGTTGCTATTGCAATCACTTTTGATGTAAAACTGATGTGATGTGTTAAACAATATAATGCTACCACATAACTTTTTTGTAAGAGTTTTTGTAAGAGTTTATGTACTTGTAGCGTAACTCATTTTAAAATACTAAACAAATGAAGTGAACCATGGTGTTTGGAGAACCTAGGTTCAACCTGAAACAATCAAACCAAAGCGTGTGCATGATAGAGTGAGATATAATCAGCTAAACCAAGTAGCTCATTTACCAAATAGTAACTTGGTCTTGTGGGTTTCTCGATTAGTCAGTAATGCAAACTAAAATTAAAAAATGGTTATGTTATTACTTCAGATGAAGTTGCTAAAATGAATAAATTGACAATAATTGCAGTAGATATTACTTGGATGAAGTTGCTACAAACAACAACATCAGGCTAACATGAATCTACATATGAAATCCGAGTCAAATTTGTTAAAATGAATAAAATGACAATCCTAGTCACATTTTAATATCTTTAATATATTAAAATTAGATAACTTAAGTTCTTTAACCTCATTAGTTGCAGTTGAAACTTCATCCATTTTAACCAAAGTCACCCTATCTAAGGAACTTACAATGGTTTGTTTTGATGATGACGTAACAGAAGTATGGCGGAAAGAAAGGAGCAGGTAGAAGCAGTCCTAGAGGGGACTAAAATTGTGCATTTTTCTCTTTAGATTAGATGGGAAAGAAGAGATGCTGGAATTATGTACGTTTGTTGTATGTTTGAACATGGTATTACAAAAGTGTAGTTGAATTGATGCATTATTTTTTTACACAGGAGTTAGTATATACTTTAGTTAAGCAAGTCAAGCATATGATATCTATACTTGAAATTTCATGCATTTCTACTTTAGTTTCCAATTCCCCTTGCCTTTACAGTGTGGTTTGTGTTCATTTTGGTTCTTGTTTTCGTCACAGTTGAGCAATCCATTGAGCTGCCTTAGCGTTCGGGGAACTTCTTAAGAATGTTCCATGTAACAAAACAATATGGACCGTTTTCTTACCCATTTTGTTTTTAGATTACTACTTTCTTCCACTGTCGTTGTTTAAGGCTGTCTTAAGTCTATTACGAAGCTCACTTATAAGCCTATAAGAGTATAAGGTATAAGATGATCATTTTCCCCGCAAAATGATACCCCGCATTTCATTTACGTGTTGCACCAAAAACCTACTGACCTATTCACACCGTCCAACCCGCCTACAAGGCTACAACCCAACACATTCAACCCAACCTAATAGGAGCCAACCCATATTCATTTTTAAACACTCTAAGTTCTAACTCACTTTTAACTGCGTTGGTTATGAATTGAGCTGCAGCTAATCCTCTCAGCTTGATCCAACCCGTTTATTTATGCAAATAGCATGGCCGTTTCGGCTCATAATGGGCTGGAATTTGTAAATTCAGTCAATAATTGTTAAAGTAGACCTGTTAGGGCAAAAGGTTAAATTGAGTGGAAATCGATAAATTGGACTGAAACAAAACGCTGCGTGCCATAGTGTTTGTCTTTTGACTTCAGCTGATTATTGAATATGTTTCATCTCCGAACTATCCCGTGCGTATCTCTCTTATCTTCCCAGCTAATTTTATGATCATAGGATTCATAGCTAATCGCTGCAGTAATCCTCAATTAGCTTGGATGTTGTTGTAGGCCTTCAATAGATCAAGATAACCTTCATTCAGAAACAAAAATATCACTCATATAATGTCACAAAGACGAAGAGCGCTTGAGAATTTTTGAAGCATCCCTCTTTCGATTAAACTTTAATAGCTTTGGCTTGTAATGCCATAAATACACAAATTGTGAAGTTCGTTTTAAAACCAAAATGCTCTTAATTTTCTAAAAGAGGCTTAAATTGTTATGTTTTTGTTCTACATCTCAAAACATTTTTCTTAATTTATGAAGTCAGTAGTCCTTTTTTGTTCAACATATCTTCTAATTTAACTGCCATAGAAGAACTGGAAACAAATCTTCTTTATAAGAGTTTCAAAACAATTTAAGCCTTGTTTCAATATTTCTAAATTGTGTAAAAACTTTAATGTGGCGCTTTCAATCTGGGAAAATAAGAAAATTACTCCGTATGTGTTTTTATTCCAATGCTTCACGTCACAAATAAATTGGCTAAACATACTAGTAACTAAATGTGTCAATGTCTTTTTGAATAGTTAAAGCAATGGGAAAGAAATAAAGCAACACTTGGAACTATTAAGTCTTGCTTACACATTTTCAATTTTTTTGTTAGATGGCAATTCTACCCTATAGCCGTATAGGGGTGGACAAAAATATCAAACCGGCATGGTACCAAATCACAATGGTATGGTTCTCGATAAAAAAAAACGGGTTTGAAATGGATTTCAATTTTTTTGTCCCGAACCAGGCCGTACTGGTTCCAAACAATGTCATAACCGGTTCTCATTTTATGAGAACTGGTACCGGGCCGGAATATGATTTAATTATTTAAATTTACAATTATACCATTACTTTGACTATTGCTTTCGCACTTTCACAACATTTGCTAGTTCACTGGAATTGGAACCAGACCGAAGTATGGTTTAATTATTTAAATTTGTACTACTATAGTTTATAAAAAATTTACTACATATTAATTATGTATTATAAAAATTGATAAATTGTGCAGACTTTTGAAGGATGACTAAACTTTAATTTCGCCTTAAAAATTGGAAAGTCATTGTTTGATATTTGTATGACATGGTATCGTCCCGTTAGAAAATGAAACTATACCGAACGGTTTAGGTCTAAGACCGAACCGAACCGAACTGTTTCAATTGTCACAATATGGATACGGGTTCGACAAAATATTGATCTGGACCGGACCTTGCTCACCCCCACTACCGTACTTGGAGTTTTGGTAAAATAGAATTAACCATCAATACAAATGCAAACTGGTCATCGAGACGAACTCACAAATGCCAATTGGGCTTTATATATAAACCGCGAACTCATTTTTTCTAGGGAAAATTTCACAAATAGATTAAAAAGTAAAAATAGTATCACTTTTGTCACCTTTACTTTTTCTTTTCAAAAATAGATTAAACAAGACCTTTCTTTCACAAATAGACCCTGGAAGCAAACCGCTAGCTACGTATTACGGGAACCTCTATTCCTTAAAAGAAGTTAGGTTGTCAACATAAAAAGTCACGTGATCAACCTCATCACCAGTGTCATGTTAATTAGCAAAAATGGCATACTTCATACTTCGTATATAAATTTAATCAATTTTGAGAAGATGTAAATCAGAAAATAAAAATGTATAAAAACAGTAAAGTTTAATAAATTGAAAACTCGAAGTTCTTTATATAATAGTTCTATACATTTTTTTTTTCGAAATTTAGTTAAAAATGAAAATACTGAGATACTTTTTAAAGAATTAAAAAATTAATAGTAAAAATTCAGCAAAATAATACGTAACTTAAAAAAAACGTAAATTGAGCAGGAATATATAAAAAAGTGTACAAATAACAAACAAGTTCACAAAAAACTAAAAAAAGTGTAAACTAAGTAGAATATATAAAACAAATTCTAGAAAACACCAAATTGAAACAAGTTAAGAAAAAAGAAATGCAGGAAACTTTTAAAAACTAAAAAAATTGTAAGAAATAAAAGAGAGTTTTTAAACACATTCTTAAAATTCTCAAATAAATACGGAGTATATAAAATGTGAAAATATATAAAAATCTAATTACATTTTTTAAAATAAAGTCAAGTACAAAATAAGAATCTTAATGTTTAAAAAAACAGAAAATTAAAAAGTAAATTAGCAAGCTTGCAAAATATAAAATAATCGAAACTTATATATGAAAAAAATAATGAAAATTTAAAATAAATCAAAATTGAAAAACAGAAAATATATATGAATTTCGTAAGTCGATATTTTAAAAATAAGCTATAAAATGAATTATGTCATTTTTGACTTTTTTGCCTGTTGTTTCTTCATGTTTCTTTTTGTTGATAACTTTGAGGTTTTTGCTTTTTATTGTTTTTTTTTTGTTTTTTATTGTTTTTTAACGTTTCATATAGTTATTCATATTTGTGGATCAAAATTTACAATTGTAGATGTTTGTGTATATATTTATATTCGGTCTTTATTCCAAGGAAACATAAAGGATATTTATGAACCTAAATAAACAAAAAGAAATCAAAATTAACAATATACAACAATGTGCAACAATATACAATAATAAGAAACATGATAAAACAAAAAGCAACACACGAGATGCAACAAAATGCAACATGTGTGATATGACAAATAGAAAAAAGTAACATATAAAGTATCACAAAAAACAAACCATTCAATATCTTAAATGAATTTGTTACGTTTATATAGAACATTGTACATTATTTGGATTGGTTCTTCTAGCTTCATCCTTTTATGATGCATCTTAATACATAAATTATGAGGTTTTTTCTTGTCTTCATTTCCCTTATTGGTCTTGTAAGCCTTATTTCCATCTGCATGAAAGACTTCAAACTATGAGTTGAAGTATAAAGCAGTTTGCTCTATCAATATCACAAATCAGTGGACTAACCTGTACTTGCAACTAATTGAAAGTCATTCTCAAGTTTATTGCTATTGCTGGTAACCATCATCAATTTTAGCTTCGTAGCAATCAACTCCATTTCTCTCATCACTTCCCTTTGTGCCAAATTCACTATTTTCAGCAGAATCTTTATGTTCTCTTTCCGTGTTCCATTTCTAAATCTTTGCCCTTCTATCAACACTGCCTTCCCTAAATAGACTTCTGTTTCTCCTAGCCATAGGACATCTACTTTGTCCCCTCTTCTTCCAGGACTTCTGCTTCTAGGTCTATCTCCTCTCTTGGTGATGATGATCACCTCTCCTATGATATCCATCTTCAGAATCAAGTTGCTTGATGAAAAACACTTCTCGGATGTTCTTGGCAGCTGCTAATACCAGTACAAGGAAGCACATGTAACCATTGCACTCAATTGCAGATAACATATATCCATTAATCAAATTAATGTACACAGGAGTAATTATTTACCAAGCCTCAATTACTATATTTATAGTCATTTTATACTAAACGAATTGAAATAACATATGGAAACATAAGTAAACAAAAAACAACAATATTAAAAATCAATTATTGAAAAGTGATCAACAAAAATAAACAAAAAGCAACACGGTGAAACAAAAAGAAACAAAGAAACACTAAATAATACGGAATATTTTTCAAACAAAATACGGGTCATTCCTTATCTTTTCATTTTGTTTATTAACTGCATATAAAAATGCCATTAACTTTGTCATCTTTTGACACGAAGAACTTTTGTATTTTAAATCGATGATAGTAATAAGATTTATATTTTGATGGGGCCTTTATTGGAGATCGAGACAGAAGGGTATCAAGACAGAAGGGCCTTTAATTGTGTAGTCTCTAAAAAAGTACCAAATAATAAGAACCATGCTTCCATATATTACACATGTCAAGTATGCCCATAAGGTAGGGACTTTTCATGCATGGCAGCAACAATTCTCTCGTTGAAAGGCTTACTGTATACTTTAACAGCATATTGGAACAGCTTATAGTATGCTTTAACAAAATTGATATGAAGAGTATGTACACAAATCATTTCTTATTGAATGCCTTCATTCAAAAGTGGATATTACAATTCATATGCAAATTGATTTCGACAATTGTGTGATTAAAAAAACAAAGAAGGTATTTAGTCCTTCTGAATCAAGGAAAAATCATAGCAAATACTCTATAGCAGACAAAGAAGGATTTCTATTTTGCACCCAAGCTGATTAAATATCTAATAAAGGTTGACCCAAATTACAGATCTTACAACATTGTACAATTTTTAACATTTTCAAACGAGATTAAATGGGGGTAGGCATGCAGGAACCAAGCATTCAAAGTTCAAACACATCAATAAGTACCAAAATCACTCAACCACAGTCTGCAGAGGGTAGAGTATTTCTTAAACTGGTTTGAAAAAGTTGAACTCCAAAGTCCAAACCACACCTCAAATAGTCATGCCCCACAAATCATCGATCTCATTGTAACTAGAAATAAAAAAGAGACAATTAGTAAATGATAACTAATTGTCATCCGCATCATCTGAATCAACATGCATTATAACATTTTACATAAACATAGCAAAATGTATTAAAATGAAAATCATTATTTAATCCTAGGAAAAACCAGAAGTTTGATGAAAATAAATAAATTTACTCCGCAAATCTAGAAGCAACACTACACCTCTAGATGCCAAATCAGAAGCAAATTGACCAGAAATAGAAATGAAGAGAACTTGAACAGAAACAATCAATGAAATTCAAGAGAAAAGCCTGGAACTCACTGGTTATTTTAGAGCGATAAGATCGGAATACAGCAGTAGTGATCAGATTTGTAGGTACAAAGAAATCCACACCTGGAGTTGCATCAATTCGAATTCCAGAACAGTCTCTGTTCGCTGCTCTCCATAACCGGCCGCCAGTCGCCTGAAGGTCGCAGCCGTAAACGATACCGGACTAAAGGTCTGTTGCGATGTTGAGAACTCCATCGCTATTCCAGACTCTGCTCCAACGGCGTGTTCTGATTGTCATCCAATCGCTCTTCGCAAAGGGAGCCACCGATTCGACGGAAATCGCCGGTCGGGAGCTTCCCTCCCCAAGTTGTCAATCTCATCCCTTTAGAGGGAACCAAACTAGCTCAAAAGATTCTAAAATTAAATATAAGGGATGAAATCGATGAGACTCAAATTATCAACGACGGAGAGTAGACGACGAAAGTATGAAGAGAGGGAGGGGTCGGTGAACGGTGAACCTATCTAAAAGTGAAATAAAAAATCAAAACTGAAAACTAAAAAGTTTATAAATGAAAAGAGAAAGTGACCAGGACATAAACGATATCTTAAACATAAAAGTGGACTACATAGGTAATTACCACTTTTTTCTATTACAAATTTGGTAAATTTACATTTCTGTGGAAATTCATCATGATATAATGTTATTTAATTTGACTATTTACAACAATTTACCAAAAATGGAGTTCGAGGAATGGAGAATTCATGTAAATAAATTCCCTTTTATAATTATAGAAGACTGAATCACGATCGATAACATGTCGCCTTCAAATCATGACCTATAAATAAAAGTCGCAAAGTATATAAATGAAATAAAAGCACTAAATTAAAACACATGGAGGGAGCGTTGAAAGGAAGCGTATACCATACAGCCGGCTGTACGGCTGGCACCGTACAGCCGGTGGCAATTTTGTAATTTTGATGAAGTTCGTGGTTTCTCGTAAATGAGCATTGATGTAATTTTGATGATTATCGAGCATGTTCTTCTGAGTATTATGAGCCTAACAATGAGCACCAGTGATCTCTGCTTCATATTTTCTATTTCGGTTTCTTTTTATTATTTTTTCATTTATAAAAAATTCTTAAATTATGTTTATAATTAATTTCAATATGTGAATCTAATGTAGTATGATATGTTTGATATGTGCATCATTTTAAAATGAGCATAAAGTAGTACCAAATGAGCATACACTATTTATAAAATGAGCATAAAAAATTCAAAACTTTATTTGTGTATGCTCATTGATTTTGGGCGTTATATTTGATATGTGCATCCATTTTAAAATGATCATAAAACAATACCAAATGAGCACACATAATTTACAAAATGAGTATCAAAATATTAAAAACTCATTTTTGTGTATTCATTCATTTTGGGCACAATACTCATTTGAGTTTAACATATAACTCATTTCGAAATATGTATGAATATGACATTTTAAAATGAGTATTGCACTAATACCAAATGAGTATACATAACATACAAAATGAGTATAAAAATGTTCAGAAGCTCATTTTGTGTATGCTCATTCATTTTGGGCGCTATACTCATTTTCGTTTAACAAAAACTCATTTTCAATGTGTTCAATATTAATTTGTGTGAGTTCATTTCTTTTAGGTGTATACTCATTTGAGTTTGATATAAAACTCATTTGAGATCAATAGCTGCAATGATTCCTCAACAATGAATTAGACTCCCTTTATTTCCCAAAATCAAAAGTTCAAATAGCAAAACTACGTTAGATATATAGAGAAAAAGAAAGAGAGGAAAGAAAGGCAGAGGAGGAGAGGTAATTATGCAGGAGCCGGAGCCGAAGTCGCTGCCGCTGCGTTTGTGCCGGAGGAGAAGAGGTGACTGGTGAGAGGCGGCCACAAGCAGCGAACTGAAAGAGAAGGGGATGAACAGCGATGACGGTGAGCCTGATGCGAAGTCGGATTGAAGAAGAAAACGAAATCGAAGAAGTCTGGAGCGAAGCTTTGTGCGATGTTGGAGCGTAGAAACCTGGTGAGCCGTGCAGATTGAAGAAGCGCAGATCCAATTAAGTCCGGCTGTACCGTGCGCACGGTACAGCCGGCTGCACCATGTATTTTACGGCGTTGAAAGGCCTTACATCTACCACCCGTTTTGTACATTTAATTTTTGTATATTTCGTAAATTACGTTTTTTACTTGCGGTGTTTTCAGTCCCAGATCAAATCAGACCAAATTCAAACAGACTAGATTAGATCAAACCAGACTTAACAGATTAGGTCAGATCAGATCGGACTTCGATAGTTATAAAATACACAGAGACCAGACATTTACAAAACCAATTCAGATCAGACCAGACTAATAAAGTATTTAACAAATTTCAGACCAGACTAATAAAATATTTAACAAATTTCAGACCAGACCAACAAATTTCAGTCCAAATAAAAACATCTTAACTAATACGGAGTAGTGAACAACAAGTGAGAAAAGAATAAAGAGGATGAAGATTTACATGTTCCTTTAACCGACAAAGAAGGGAGGTAGCAAATAGGCAAATGTGTATCAATACATAAGGTATGGATAATTGAATTCCTTACTTGAGCTAACTAATCATTTTCAAGTTCCTCTAGTTGCTTTCAATGAGTTTGGATAGTTTAGTAAACCTAGCCGAACGTTTAGGTGGTTGGGAAATTTGAGAAAGTAGGGCCAAATCAGGAAATTTCAATACCTAAAAAGCAAAAAAAAGAACTCTAAAATTCATGACTTTTCCAACTGTTACAAACACTATATTAAATTATGTGAAATGTTTACTCACAGAAATAATTAGAACTGGAGTGTTAGATACTCATAGAAGTACAATAACAACCAAACCCCTAATTAATTTAGCTCTTCTATCAAGATTCCGAAGAAAAATGGAGATCTTAATTAGGTATAAGATACAGAACTTAAGGAAATATGAAGACTCAAAACGCTAATGGAATTGATATTATTACTTTAGAACAAAATACAAAAAAGAAACAGGTTACATTCGAAATATGGCATTTTATGACATGGATTTACATGGCTAATAATCCATACAAACACTTGCCTGATAATGAAAGTAAACATTACAAGGGAAAACTAAAGTAGTTGGCCGGGACTAGGATATTGAAACAAGAAACTAGTAAGCCATACACAGCAGCAACACACATCAGAGATATGGGGATGGCCCTAGCTAGTCGGCATGCAATTATATATCTCAGACATATTTGTTGATGAACTCTTCCACGGTTGTATAGTTAACATCGGGATAAAGCTCCGATGCCTCCACCCCGAAAGACGATTCGATTTTGAAGTTACTATGGTCTCCCTTCACAAATGCAGAGTGGCTAATAGACAGCACCACATTCAATGGCACTCCAGCTTCTGCAACACACATATATAAATAATACAATATACATAGATGAGAGTTCAAAACTTCAAATAAATTAAAACAGGTCTCTTTACATAGGTGAGAGTTCAAATAAAACACTTGAAATTATAATAATGTCATGGCGTTTTTTAATTGAAAATGTTCATGTCACTCATCAAGAACCACACTCATTTTCACCTAATAGAAATGGTTTCTATATCAACAAAATTAAACACTACTCTATGATTGTCTTTGGTTTGTTGTCTACACGGTGAGCTGAATCTATTTTCATTACTCATTAGGAATTATTTATCAAAGTTTTACAGTTGTTTATAGTTCACTGTTTGCAAATTTATAGAACTTTTAGTGTACTGTCAAAGTGAACTAAAAGTTCAAGGTGGATTTAATTTTATTTCAATCAAACATGGTAAACTAAAACAGGAACATAATTAAGGAGGGAAGGTATATATATCATGTGTGGGTGTGTAGTACACATATAGACATATATGTGGGCGTATCTAGTGTGGGGGCAGTGGGGGCAGCTGCCCCCTCTCAACCCCCACCCAACTCCTATATATATATCCAATTTAAAATTATGTATATATAATTCTATGTTAAATATAAAGGTCTTATAGCATAAGTACGACAATATAACTAAATTCATCCGTAGCAGATTGGAATGAGCATCGCGCGTATTGGAATGATCATCGTCAAGGTGTTCAGGGTTCGAAACCCTGCCCCCTTCATTTTTGTTATGTTTTTCCCTTTAAAGCTTTAAACTATTTTTTTTATCACAGAGCCTTAAACTAATTGAAATTGGCTTTGTTTAGTTCTTTTTTTTTTAATCCAATTAATCTTCTTGGAATGATCTAAATTACATCAACACAATTAAAACTTTAGTTTCACATGTAACTCATAAACTTAACAATTACTATTACATTTTTGAACATAATATAAAGTTATAAACTAATTTTTACTATACTTGTGAAGTTGCAATTTAAATTAATTATAGGTATATGCTTGATCCTTCCCTTAATTGATTCATTTATTTATTGACATAATTTTGCACTAATTAAAAAAGCTGGTATACAATTATTTCTAATTAAACTTGATATTATAATGTTTTCGTCTAGTGAATATATTACTATATATAATTGATTATACAATTTTTTTTCTTAACTTGATTAGTAAAAAAAATTCTAGTGATTTTTTTAACCTAAGGTAAGTTTGCCCCCGCTCACATATTTTTCTGGATACACCACTGGACATATAGTACTTCTGTCATATTAATTAGAACAACTTAATGTTTATTTCAGTTTATATTCAAAGGGCGGACAACAGGTTGAAACGCTGACCTGCAATGTTCTTGAGAACTTGTTCTTCGGGTACGTATTCCTTTTCAAGAGTTTTGCCAATCTTCTTCTCATAGATGGAAACAACATCATTGAAGGAAATTGTGTTTTTTGGAGGCCTGACATAAAGGATTTTGTTCAAAGTCCTTGGATCATCCACAGCCTTGATGGTATATGCAGCTATATCTTCTTCCTTGTTGAAAACAGCTGAAAAGCATCACAATCACTTAGTAAGAGACCAAGAGCATAACAAATATTCTCTTCCCTAAAAGGGAAATATCATCTCAAAAACACTTATTGTGATTCACAAGCACCCATGTGAAATCAGTGTAATTCAGGAATTTGGTTATTAGCTCAGCTCTAATAAGAGCCATGCAGTTAAACAAGACAAAAAGAAGGTTAGATCTTTTAACATCAAATAAACTCATAACATTGTAACATTTTAAAACGAGTAGATTTTGTTCTAGTTAGATATCACTTGAACATCTGATCTATCAACACCAACTTTTAATTTGGAGGACTTCAATTATAAAATCTTTGTTTTGTTCTCATTGGAATTGCGTAATTTTTGTGTGTAGTCCTTTTAAATTGCATATTCTCTATAAAAAAAAATACGATAGTACATAGGACATGTTCAAAATAAAATATTTTTTTGAACAAAAAAAATACTTCGTACATAGTTATAATCTGTGGAGGAGGGTAGCTACTTGCCTTTAGGTGTGCCATCCCCAAGAATAACAACCTTCTCTGTAGGGGCGGTGGTAGAACCTGGCTGAGCCAAATTTGGAAGGAAGTAGTTGGCAAAGAAGAAATTGGCCACAAAAGTGTGGGGTATTCCTTCAGCTTCAATGGCACGACGAAGGGCAGATTTGACCTGAAATGCTGATTTTGCGGGCTCCACTGCATTTACCCGGTCAACATCAACCCCAAACTCTGATGGAAAAAACCTCTGCCATGCAAACATCATTTACTATTAGTATTTCAAGTTCTCTACACGCAGTAACCATCATTTACACCAATTTGAGTGTGAACGCTCAATAGAGATTTGTTTGCTTTATTATCAATCAAACCTTGTAAACAATGCTTGGTGTACACATAGCAAAACTCTAAATTGAGATGGAGGGAGATTATGATAAGAAATGAAGTTTGTGTGAATCAGTGTGAATGAAGAGAAAAAGTGAAAACCAACCAAAAACTTGTTATTTTAAAAGAAGAGAAAACTCTCAAATAAGTCCTCGTACTTTGGTCAATTCCTCAATTAAGCCCTCATACTTATTTATCACACAATTAAACATCCGAACTCTTAAAAAGTGTTCAATTAACCAGCTTGTTTCCCGGTTAGCTACCTAGTCCACGTGTCAGAAAATGTTTTTCTGAATAAAGTATTTTGTGTATGAACATGAAAAATGACGGAGGTGATATTATTTACAAGATGAAGAAAGGTTAAATGGCAACTGAATTATTTACCTTGACGTTTCCGGCTTCTTTTATAGCAGCGATGATCTTATGCTGATCAGCCAATTGGAAGTGACCCACCGTTGAAATTACCACATCCACTTGCTTTATCGCCTTCACCAAACTCTCATGATCGTACAAATCACCCTGCAAATTCGCAATTTCATGCCAAATTAATCAATTAAATATCCACTAATCCAATAAAATAAATTAATTATTGTTCACGTTTACTTACGGTGATGAAATTGACGCCGGCGTTCTTCAATTTCTCGACGACCTGGGACTTGTCGGGGTTTGAGAGAGTGGATTCTCTGATCAGGGCGAATGTGGGATGTCCGGCCTTGGGACCCGCCTCGGCGATGTACTTGCCGATGTATCCGGTAGCTCCGATGATCAGAATCGAACTTTTTCCGGCCATTTTCCGATGCAATGTGCTTTACTCGGTCAGATGAAACGATAATCGATCGGTGGAAGCGGTGTATAAACTACAGACCGCTGAGCAAATATTTAACGTGGGAAATAGTTTACGAAATTATAAACGTGCCCTTCATTCTTTCATTAATTACTAACTTGCACCTGGTGTTAGTTGGATGTACTTGGATGGATTTCAGGGAAGTTCGCGAATCTGACTAGGTCCGGAAAACATTATCCGAAATTACGAAGAAGACTTTTCATGTTGAGTGGATGTCATGAGTGACTTCACCATTTGTGAAAATATTTGAAAACTTTCTTAAATATGATTAACATATTACGGAGTATATAAGAAAATTTTGTAAATATTACACAATGATCTGCATGCAAAATTACAAATTGCGTATTTAATAAGAAATCAACCAATAAAGCTTATAAGGTGAAAATATGAGTTAAATGTAGCTAGGCTAACCCTGTAGGAGAATCCTCATTCATCGGGTTATTAAAAGATTACATTGAGCATGTGACAATTTTTTTGTAAGATCTTATTTGATGAGAGAATTAAGAGATTAATTAAGTTTGAGAGCATGTTTTACTTTATTTGATGAGATTATTCAGTAGCTAAAGTAATACGACATAAAAACATGAATATTGATTTTTTTTGAAGATTATTTGAAAATGTAGATGTGATAGCTAAGTGATAAGAGCAAGAAAAAAGTTGATTATGGGGGTGTTTGGATCTGATTCTAAAACTGCTTCTGCTCCTTCAGGGAGCTGAAGCAGAAGTTGGAGTGTTTGGGTGAAAGTCCAGAAATGATTCTGGAGCTCTATTTTACTCCTAGAATCAGTTTTTTTAGAAGCTGGGGGACACCAGCTTCTGAAAACTGATTCTGATTCTGCTTTTACTTTAAAATAGAAGTAGAAGCAGAATCAGTTCCAAACGCCCCTATATTGTGCAACATCTCAAAAAATTGATTTTCGGAGGCAATCAATATAGATGCTCGTAATGTCGTGTTCATAGTGTTTTGTCATCAATAAAATATTTAACATTTCTACGCACACTTCTTTGTTTTCAAACTCTAATAATGAGAGTCGGATCAAATCAGTAAAATGTTAAGAGGACGATGAATTATACTATCTTTGTCCCCTTTTGATTGCCCCTTTACGGTTTACGATGTTTGACTGACGATATAGCAAACAAATCTCTGTCCGCACTCAAATTATTTTTAGGGGAAAAAATTTACATATTCAGAAACTACATTAAAAGCTTTACAAAGACGCAAAAAAACCTGAATCAAATTTGATAATTTTTTTATATATAAAGTAAGGAATTAAGAGTGATTTGTGTTGACCAAGTAAATAGGAACTGAGACAATATAAAGGAGATTCAATTGACACTTTTTCCAAAAAAATTACTATGTATAATATTTGGCCGGTGTAGCCGGTAGCCCTAAATTTATTTAATAAATATGGAGTTACTTTATAGATCTGATCTAATGAAATTACGGAGTAATTACTACTTTTATGCATTATTGCACGGATGAATAATTAGACGTGCATTTGAAGTTTTTTCATGGCATGGAGTGATAGTTCAAACTAATCCACCGTCATGATGCGGTCGTTGACAACAACTATATTGAACATTCAGCGGCTAACAATCATGCTTCAGTTTGTAAAATAAACCCCCTTCCCCTCCGGTTAAGCTTCATAGCTTGGGAAAAAAAATGATTAATGATGTATATTTTATAGTATAAACTAGTAAACTCACCCGTGCGATGCACGGTCGGAGAATTTTCCTTTAAATTTATTTGTGCTCACTAATTCAAATCACACTATCAATTGATGGGATCATCTATCTCCATGAAATATTGATATAACTTCAAGCAGTAAACAAAACACACTTATAATATATATTATAGTTAAAAAGAGAACACTAAGCATTACCTAAGAGATCAAAAACATCCAACAAATACTTATAAATCATAACATTGTAAATATACATTTCATGTAACCCTAAACATTGTTGAACACTCTTTGAATACAACATTCTGAGTCTTGTCAGTAGTTCCTTCTTCTTCATCAATACCCGTGCGGTGCACGATTGGTGAAATTTCGCGGGTATAATTAATATTAGCCAACATTTTAATTAAAAAATAAACAAACTTGTAACTTTAATTGAATTGTTTAGAATTATACTCCATACAATAATAAAACTTGACGTAAATTAAACATATAAAATACAATCTACTAATGATTACAAAGTAGAACATTATTTTTTATAGCCCACAAAATAGTAAGTAACACGCAATATAAACATCATTTGAAAACAAATAACATTTCATGACAAATTTTATGAAACACTTCTTTGTACATTCTGTCTAGCATTAACCCTTGTTAAGAGGGAAATTACACTAAATAGGACAAAAAAAGTTCTATGTATTCCAAAATTGGACTTTAAGCATCACAATTTTTTTCAAACTTGAAATTAATTACGCCTATTTTGACAATAAAAAACATGACAATCTTGTTTTGGAATTTTCAAACTTATTTACTCATATTCGAAAATATTCCCTTATTAAAATCCTTCATTCAAGTAATTTTTGACAAACTTTTTTTTCATTTTCAAATCAAAGGTCTATATATATGTGAACTGGAGGTATAAATTTTTATAATTACTACATAATATGGTCACATTACATCTATACGACTTGCATTATTTAGAAACTGCTGCTGTAACCTGGCAAATCGGGGGGTGTGCAGATATGTGAAAATGTGTGATGTCTTTATCTATACGAATTGCATTATTCATACGAATTGCTGATGTATCCTGGCAAATCAGGGGGTGTGCAGATATGTGAAAATGTGTTATGTGTTTATCTATACGAATTGCATTATTCATACGAATTGCTGATGTAACCTAGCAAATCAGGGGGGTGTGCAGATATATGAAAATGTGTTATGTCTTTATCTATACGAATTGCATTATTTAGACGAATTGCTGATGTAACCTGGCAAATCAGGGGGGTGCAGATATGTGAAAATGTGTTATGTCTTTATCTATACGAATTGCATTATTTAGACGAATTACTGATGTAACCTGGCAAATCAGGGGGGTGCAGATATGTGAAAATGTGTTATGTCTTTATCTATACGAATTGCATTATTTAGACGAATTGCTAATGTAATCTGGCAATTCAGGGGGTGTGCAGATATGTGAAAATGTGTTATGTCTTTATCTATACGAATTGCATTATTAAGACGAATTGCTGATGTAACATGACAAATCAGGGGGGTGTGCACATATGTGAAAATGTGTTATGCCTTTATCTATACGAATTGCATTATTTAGATGAATTGCTGATGTAACCTGACAAATCAGGGGGGGGGGGGGGGGGTGCAGATATGTGAAAATGTGTTATGTCTTTCCTAAACTATACTTAAATATAAATATATGAGAAAATCTTCAAATAAGTATTTATACATATAATGTTTTTTAGGTATATATGTATATAACTTTTTTAAATGATTACATAAATACGATTAAAATAAAGGTTGTTTATGAAAATGTGACATGTTAAACATAGTTATCAAAGTCGAAATACTTTTTTACATCTATCAATTTTTTGCAGTCCAAATACGGAGTATTACTTTGGGACCCTATTAATTTATGTACTAAATACTGATAAATTCATTTAATCCACTATCAGGCCCACTATATGATAAAACCAACCCACTGTAACACCAACCCAACAATAACCCTTTAAGCCAACGAATAGGGTTATTGAAATTTCATTTCTATTGCCCTCAGGCCTCAGCCAATCTTCGGACCAAAAATCGGATCTTCAAGAAACCACCGAATCATCCCTCCCAGAACAGACTACTTAAATCTAAATTTGTGAGAAAATGTTCAAATATGTGTTTCTATTATTTCTAATATCGAAGTATGGTCTGTTCTGGTTTGTTTAAGTTTGGTTTGGTTTGAGACTGAAATAGATGTATGTATAAACATTTCAAGAAATATGGTGCCAATGCATTTATACGAATTGCATATCTTACATGAATTGCCCGGATAAATTGGCAAATCAGGGGGGTGCAAATATGTGAAAGTGTGTTATGGCATTATTAAATAATACTCAAATATGAATTTGTGAGAAATTGTTAGTTGAGCCTGTATATAAAGAGTAATACTCAATATATATTAATTGAAGGTAAAGTATTGATAATGACTGAGTAATAGGACGACTTTACATTTATACGAATTGCGTGGTTAGACGAATTGCCTTTGTAAACAGGCAAATCAGGGGGGGCAAGTATATGGGAGTATGTTATGTCATTCTTAAATTATACTTAAATATATTTTTAGTGAAAATGTTCAAATAGGTCTTTATAGTATGAATCCCGTGCGATGCACGGTCAGAGATTTTTTCTTTCAAATTTATTTGTGCTCACTAATTAAAATTACATTATTAGTTGATGACAACATATATCTCGATGCAATATTGATATAGCTCAAAGTACTAAATGAAACACACTTATGATATTATGGTAAAAATAGAGTACTAAGCATTACTTAAAAGATCAAAAATATCCAACAAATACGTGGAAACCATAACATTGTAAATATGCATTTCATGTAACCCTAAATATTGTTGAACACTTGTTTGAATACAACATTCTGAGTCTTGCCAGTGGTTCCTTCACCTTCATCAAAAATTGGAATTTTTCAAATCACAATGATTGGTCACCCTTGATAAGCAACATACAATTGTCCGTGGATAAATACCGAATTTTGCAACAACAACCTAACACGGGACAAAGATTAACCTTGACTTTTATTTATAGTCATAGCATATGAAGTCATAACAGGATCTTAAAGCCTCTAAAATTCTAAAGGCAGGCTAGCATCAGAAAGGACAATCTAGGAATAAATAGTTTTTGTCCAACACTCACACCTGTTAAAATCTTGATCGAGTTTTGCTAGGTGTACACATTTTGCGTACACAAAATGTGTACACCAAGCATTTTTCTAAAATCTTCCCTCCAAAACATGATCAACGGGCCTAGTTGGTGAGTCCTGTCACACAACACCGTTGAATGATAAATATTTCACAGAAGCATCACCGGAGTCCCTACCTTTAACGCTAACTCATGATTCGGTACACCAGATAATTTTAAACTATTCAAGAATTTCGATGTGTGCAGTTTCGTCATTGGATCGCTCGTAGAATCAACCTTAGAAATACTGTTAGGACCGAGATGTGTTCTTGAAACTTCACCAACATTAAAAGCTGTCATATAGTCATTAACAC